TACATCTACAGTATTCGTTTCATTAAACTCTTAACGACCGGCGATACAGCAGTATATATATTAGAATACTATTTAGACGTCAATTACTTAAAACACGTATTGTTTCCCTACATCATTCACATCGTACACAGATTGAGATTTTAAGGGTTTTTTTTAACCAAAAGCCCTTAGGCTTATATAGGTACAGGATAGCATACACTGTACAAGTACATTGTATCTTTTTCTTTCTACTGTATGATTTGTTTAGTGTTACATTATGTTTGTTGATGTAAACAATGTTACAAATTACATTATTTTTGTTTATATGTACAGTGTATTTTTATATTAATTTGTTAACATGTAGTGTAAACAAAAAATTGCTTATGTATTCAGTGTTACTTTATTTATATCCATGTGTTCGGCGTTACATTGTTTGATGTGTACAGTATTACATTAAAATTGTTGACGTGTACAGCGTTACACTGTACATTATATTTGTTGATATGTATAGGCCTAGTGTAAAAATAGTTGTATTGGCGTGCGGCACAATGTTACATGTTTTGAAACACTTATGGGAATATATCATTATATGTATGTTCATGTACGTATCCATTTGAACACATGGAGAAACTAATATAAACAATACCACTTATACAGAACAAACATTGACATTGATCATGTGGTTTGGTGAAGACCGTAGTATACAAGTTTCTTTTCGCCGACAACGTCATAGAGTAAGACACATCAGTTCTCCATAAATAGACCAATCAATTACCGGAGAAGAGAATAATATATTTGATATTTGAACAAATAGCAGGAAGCGCCATATCTCAGATTTACCATGCTTCTACCAAATTAATTACAATAGGCCTCAGATATTTTTTCACAATTACGACTAATAGACAGGCAGAACGTGATCCCGCATGTTTCCATGGAAACGCGAAGATAAATTCAACATTTACAGATCGTCCTTGTAAGATTCCCCGGTGCTTTGTCGTTATTTTTTATGGAGACAAATGCATGGTAATGTGTTGTTCTATTTTGAGTCGTGTAGTTTAAAGACGACAGTGTGTGTGTGAATACGTACATGTACGTTGTTTTCTAGACACAGTCACATAGCCACAAAGATGTCGGTAAATCTCGGCTTATAAAAACATTTGTTTTTGTATCTGATAAGCAGAGACAACTGACGTATATTAGCAATCTAACCTTTACATACATTAACAGACTTAAACCCCAGAGGCGAGATCACAAATGATTATGTATGTATTCTTTTGTCTTTCTTACAGATAAGTCATACTTAGTAGCTTAGCATGAAAGAACTTCTAGGTCAATTATCCAACTTCCGGTTGAAATGATATCTTGATCTGGATTATTTTCAGGAAAACAGGACTAAATGCGATCTGGGTTATATGATGTTAATGGTTTATTCTAGACAAGAACCCGCCCAGGTAGACACAACCTTACCAGAACGACACGTTTTAGCGCGGGATTTCTCCACTGCCACACTTCCGGTTGAGAAGACATATCGACTTTAAATCGCGGTCGGGTTGTAAAGCTTAATACGAAAACTCTATTTTCTTTTAGCATTAGTCACCGTATATTGTAGACTTTATAGTTGGGGCTATAGTATTATTTGTTTCTTTCAAGTAGCCATTTGAGAGTGAAATCGTCCAGATCAACATGACTTGACCAAAAGTAAATATTTAGATACAAAATAAGTCATTTAACAGTCATTTAGTGAAAGATGTGGGAAATTGAAGGACGTCCAAATCGTAGTGTGCCTTCCTCATGTAAGATTCACTCAATACATTCATTACAAACATTCTGTATTATAGAGACACAGTTAAATCATCATTCTAGCTTTTCTGTAAAGACCAAAGGCCTTATATAAGGACCCTAACAAAAGACTTTTGGGCCGGGAAGAGACGTGGGGAATCAATTTTGTCACAAACTCGAGTCGTCCTGGTGTGAGGTTTCACAGGTCACCCGTCAGCCGTTGTGTGAGAACGTAGTGTGCTCTTTTGATTTAGCTCGATCTGTCCCTTTGATTGGTAATGATGCCATTTTAATTCAATTTCTGGAGAAGGGATGACTCAGCCCTATCACACTGCCTCCGCTGTTAGTGGTATGGCACGCTCTAAACATCGGCCTAGCGACTACATCAGGACATCAGCACTAAAATGATGTAATGCTGCACAAATATTCATCGAAAATATTAATTGAACAACATGTTTGCTACCTTTGTCATCCGTGGTATATGTCAGATGAATGGCGTCATCGTGAAATGATTTTTAAGCCTCATAAGCGTTACTCGAATATACCTGAAACAGTCAGAAGTCATGGTCCTGTGAACGATTACAGACAGGCCAAAGGCCCCTATCCATTCTATAACACATCATATGTTTGCAGATTTGCAGAGAATATATCCGATCGTGAATTCACAGAAGTCTGAAACAAACTCGACGAATAAGTTCGGATCAACCCCGTCGAGAATAAGTCTAACATAATAACCAAAACACATCATTTAGAAAACTCAAATCAGTACAACAATTTCTGAAAGAGGAGTTCAGACATTGCATTGTTGTCTTACTTGAATCTACCAATACATACTGTATCCAATTGTATTATAATTAGATCAAAATGCTGGTTATTGTGAAATAATTGGCATTGTGATGTCATATAATATCTTGACGCTGAAGATGAAATTAATAAGGACTTATGAGCAAATCAACCCAATAGTCAGGATCAAACAGTGGACAATGAGTTGACGGTAGGATAGTGCAGTCTCGTTCAATCAGATGCTTGAACACTGCGTAATTAATCTCTGTTTGACGTAGCTTGCGCAGTCAACAAGAGTCTGGTTGAACGAGACTAAGGAGTGTGACGCTGTTGGAGGTACGCGTCAGTTAGCCTACCAATCAGGAGCTGTTCCGAAACGTCCACGACACTACGACTTTGTCTTACTATAGAAGAGGCTTCTAACGAAGCTATCATGTCTATGTAGCAGTGGAATAGAAGTTCTTAAGGAGAAATCGTTTGTGTTAAATTTTGGCCCGGGAATGAACTTCGGTTGCTTCATGATTTTTTTATGCCATTGACATTCATATATTGCACGTATTATTCAACCTCAACAGATACTCTGACATAAAGTATAGGTTGTAAGTATAAAGTTACGTAACCTAACGACTGACTACAATAAATAATAGAATAGGGTGAGATCAGAAAGCCATTATTACACACAGAGAAAAATGCTTAAGGATCGAACCAGGCCAAAATGTAAGGAAGTTAAAAGCCTGTATGAATAATGCTTGCATATTTAGAATATGTCGGATTAGTCCTCAATACCATATCGAAAATATCCTTGCGGTAAGATAATTTGTTTGCCAAATGATCACAGATCATGAGCGATATGACTAAACCATAAAGCAAGCCACGTCGGTACAGAAGCTGGCAGGACAGACGCGCGCCACACGAACGCGCTGCGGAGGACATAGGTCAAATGGCCACGGTGTACCGAGAGACCAGATGGTACAGACAGATACCATCAATGTGTTCCCCACACCACACGACGACACATCGAATCAGCGGACCCCCACGTCACAGAAAGGTCGGGCTAACATCACAGCAATGTTTATGTATATAAACCTCCCAACAGAACACACGTGGACACTAGCCTAACATTTGGCCCCATGGTACCATTTCGGAACCACCTGATCTGTGTCTGCTGACCCAATATACCTAGCATTGCTCCAGTTATACGTGCAAATTCGTCTAATAATCTCCACTTCCGCTTAGACTTATCTGTGTGTACTGAAAGCCCTGGAGATAGTCTTTGCCTTTCTTTAAAACTAAGCTCACTAAATGTTTCGATATGTCATTCATAACTCTGATGTTTCTCGACTGAGATTATAACACACGCTATAGTCAACTAGATGTCTAACCAGGTTTTCAAGATGCGAGACCCGGTCACCGAATCGATTTGACCAAACTGACCAAGCGAGCACGGATACCAGGACAGCGTCCATCATCAGAGGGTGACTGATCGTCTGTTGACCTGTTTCATCACCAAGACAACAGGGCACGTGAGAGGAGAATTATGACGATCATATTGCAAACAAAGAGATCAGAGGAGATATTTCACGAAACATTTACCAATCCCTTGGAGGTCGTGGATGGATTTATTTAGCCTGCTATATCCCACTGTATGATCGTGCGAGGTAAAAAGAAAATACCTGCATTTTACCAGAGAAGTTAGACAGGCTACCATCTCCTAAGTTTTTTTATGATGGATTATTTCCTCCTAGTTTAGAACTAAGGATCAGACATCCAAGTGATTAAAATTATTAGATTTTTTTCTAGATAATTAAATATCTATATGATATTCTAGAGACGAGAGAAAGTCTACAGAGACGTATACATGTCTCTGATTTTACATAATGTATGAACTAAATTCCTTTTATAAAACAGAGCTTAGCATGGCTGTGTGTAAAATCGGTAATGGCCAACTATTAGGTTGATAACGTATAATGAGTTTGATAATAATTTTCCAATTAATGTGTAAACACGCCCGCATCTATTGGTACTAACGATATCAGTGTAGCCCTGAATACATCTGTCATCTACATAATTAGGCATCAACCATTCGGGCAATAATTAATGAAGCTAATTTGTAAGCTGATTTGATAAACACAATATTTGGCTAATTATTTTTCTGATCACTGTTATCGTTATGTGATATCAGAGATTCGAGTTGCCGTCACACTATTATCAGAACATTGTCTGATTTACATGTCATGCAATAAGAGAGTGTTGGCTAATTAGCAGCTCGTCGACTGTGGAACCTCGTAAAGTTGGAATATCACCGTTGTTTAGGATGAAGTAGATTAAAGTTGAGATGTAAGGATTAATAATACCGTTGTCATTAATTATTCGCACAGATCCAAGCCATCGGGGATATATTGTCAGTACGTACCCTTACAAACTCCCGACCCCCGGGCTTAGATGGTGTCATTACTTACCCGCACATAGCTGCAGGATCCCGGCCACCCGGGCTATAGTCGGTGACACAATGCCCTGTATGCATACAGCCAGGATTGCGACCAGGGACACAAGCATGGCGAGACCACACCCCACTCCGATTGTCAGGGTAGCGATCTGCCAGGAAAGACTGGGTATGTCTTCAAACGTGGAATAACGTCCGCATTGCTCAACCATCACTAAAGATCCGAACTCGTTCATCCGGGGGTAGTTACATCTCCGGAATACCCCAAAATAAACTGGTGTCTCCCCCATGTAGCCCCGCAACCAAAACGGCATGTAGAACCCCACACTGCCCGCCAGGGCCGCTAATAGGGACGAAAACGCCCAAAAAACTCCCACTCCGGACAGACCAGCCATCCTCGTTACGGACGTAACACTTCACAAAGGAACGTTGAATACGCTTGTCCGTAACGGACGTTACATTTAATGAGAAGTACGAAAGACAGACTTTCAATTGAAGTCAGACACGGAAGTTATTCTTTTTTTATCACAGAAAACAAAAATGTGTTGTAACTCCAAAAACCACGCGAATAACCGCGTTATCAAGGTAATCCCTAACCGGCACAAAATATTTGGGGTTTCTCTTCATTTATCAGGGATAACGAATGTCCTTCCCAACTTATCCTGTTTATCACACATAACGATTACTACACTGTAAACAAACTGACTGAAATACACACACTTGTTTGTATTGAATACAAATATACTCTAAAACCAATATCACAGCTGATCTTTAATCCGTATGCGCAACACAGATCTATATAAGCTAGCTAGTTCTGTATAAAACCTTCTCCCACACGCGTGTCATCTATAGAAAGAATCTGTCAGTGAAAGGCAATAATCTCCGACCTTCCGAAAGAAGAATATCAAGGCAGAGTAAGAAGACAAAGCGTGTTTGTAGTCCAACCACCTCACTAGGGAACACCAGTCTCTGCAACTATAGCTACGCAACCGTCACGGTCGCTGGTCCACGTCGTGGCGAGGGTAAACAGCAGGGCACACGGTTTACGCTCTGTTTACATACAGGGTCTTAGCCATGAATGAGATCTCTTTACAACTACACACACACGCTCACTCCATAGGACTTGTGACTGATCACTCGAGCGGAGAAGGTTCTGAGTGGGTCAGAGGTCATGTCAAAGAGCAGGTCAAAAGGCGGGGTTAGATGAACCGGCTGTCTTGTACTAGTTCAATGTTGCAGATAAATATTACAACACAATTAACATCGTTCCCCACATTTTGGTCAGTACATGTATATTCGAGGTAAACACATATTTCATTCACTCTGACAATTTAAATAAAATCTTGTGACAAAATTTCAGGACAAAGGATTATTTTCCGGACTGTGCGAGTTTGCGAGTTCAAAATATTGTAAGATGGTAAGAGTTGTGTCCCCTGATACTGTCGGACTCAGAATTTTTAAATACTGTACGTAGCACAGAAAATCCTTTACACTGTATCTATTCTCCCCGTTATTTAATCTAGCAGCGTGGTAGATATACTCAATCCTCTCCCTAACTTTTTCATCTCAAAGGTTCACTTTTGAATTAAATATATATATGCTATACAGGGGCGAATCCAGGATTTCCTAAATGGGGGGGGGGGGGGGGGGGGAAATTTTTTTTCA